ATTCCTTCTGAATATATATTTGTTTTGTTTCACACTAAATGGGATTTTATAAAATCGCTTTGAGGGTGTAAATACAATTCATAATGTTTTTTTCCATCTAAAAATAAATTTAAACTTCCAGAGACTTCATTTACAGACTTTTGAAACCTACATTGGTTTTATAATTTGAGGATTTCATGTCCTGTTCCAGCTGAGAAAAACTGATCATGAGTGGTTTTAGATGATACCAAGAAATTATTGTCATTTTTGTTAGGGAATAATGGCATTTGGGTTATAAAAAAAATGCATTTTTTAGAAAATGCACATAAACCAAGGCAGGGATGCAATGATGGGATATCTAGAATTTATTTCAAAATAGTTCAGCAAAGAAAATAATTTATTAAAAAAAAAAAAGGAATTGATTGGTAATTCCCAACCTTTGGCACCATGTATAAGGTTTTATTGTAAAAGACCGTTTTCCTGCTGACCGGTTGGGGTGGGGGGGCATTAGAGTCTCATAAGGAGCAACCTTTATCTCTTGCACATGCAGTTTAAGTGGGGTTCATGCTCCTATGAAAATCTAATGCCACACTGATGTGACAGAAGGTGGAGCTCAAGTGGTGATGGGAACTGATGGGAAGTGGCTGTAAATACAGATGAACCGTCCCTGCTCTCCAGCACCTCACCTCCTACTGGGCCGCCCTGTTCCTAGGACTAGTCCACAACCCGGGGGTTGGAGACCACAGGTACAGATAGATGACATACATGAAGCAAAATATCGGTAACTGGTGTATCTGGAAAAACGACAATGTGGAGGTAGAGTTTCTTTTCTTCTGCTTTTTCTGTCTATTAGAGTTAATGTAGCAGCCACACCAGATTCCTATAGGAGCACTCATACAGGTTCAGTACGCCCAACCTGGGATAATTCCTGACAACAGAAAGGAGTGACATGAGAGGCCCTTTAACTTGGGAACAGAGATCTACATATTTTTGAAAGTCCCTGACACACTGGAGAAAAAAGAAATCAAGGGCAGAGCACACGGAAAACTAATATCTTAATTATTTGAGAGAAATTTTTATTTTTCTAAAATATGCAGAAAAAGCCTAATTTAATATAGAATAAACTAGAAACAGTGTAACCAGGAACAAAACACAGTGAGACATTATATTCTTTTGAATCTCCTTAAACTGGGGAAGGGAAGTAAAATCACTTCCAGTTTTTGTTTTAGAACTTGAAATGCAGTGACAGACTCAATTCCTCATGTTCTCAGGAGATAATATCCCACAGACTGCAAACTAGACACAAAAACTGGTTATTAATAATACTAATAAATCTTATTTGCTGATAAAACCAAATATTTGCTTGATTTTTCATAAACTGGTAGAAAATATGGAGAAAAATGCTAGGTGAAAAAACAAACAGTGAAATTTCAGGATGGGAAAGAAGGGGAATTCCAGGGTCAGACGGATATTAAGAAATTAAATGTGTCACCCCTGTTCTTTAGTATTATGGGCAGTTGTAACTAACAACACTGATAAACATTTGCACTATTCTTATGGTCCTTGTTCTTTAGAAATTGTGCTTCCTAAAAAAGGGGTTGCCCAAGCCTCAAAAATTCCAGCTTTCAGGTCCAGATGACACAGAATTTCTTAAATTCAATTTACGTGTCTGTAAACGAACAGCATTAGGCTACATGATCTCAAAAATCCTGCCCAACTCAAACTTTCCAAGACACAGTTTTGTACCTATTGCTTTTGGTTTCTTCTTTCTCTTTTTTTTTTAATCTATAAAATCTTCAGAGGTTTTATTCTTCATTAGCTATTCAGGGTGTCCACGAAGTTCACGTGTAATTTAAATTGCACACTATTTAAATTTGCACGCAAACTTTACGGCCCCCCTGTATTACACAGTCCTGGGAAGTAATTAACCAGAGCAAGGCAAGCTGTACCCAAGCACAAAAATTAGCTAGGGGGCGACACCCTTGAGAAAAAACGGATTCTGCTGCAAGGGCTGAAAATGTCTTACTTTTTCCTTTTTTTCAAGAAACAGGTATTTAGGGTTCTTTGCTAATGATGTTCTGGTAAATTTCAATCAGAAGTTAGAACAAAAGAGAGTAAATGCATAAGGTGAGTCACTTTTAATATAAATAATGTTTCTGGACCGCATATATAAAGAAAGGTACACTTTAAATGTGTTTAACTGGTAAACAGGAAGAAATGTGCATGGAAGTATATCTGGCCAGCATTATACAAAGAAGGAACAGGAAGAAAGAATATGGATCGTCTCTTGCTCTAGCTCTCATTTTGAAACAATAATATTGAAAAGCCCATCGTATTGTACACTTTGAGACACTTTATTTGCAAAAAGAAATAAAGTATATCCTATTTGTGGCTTCAGCACACTTTGTGTAGGCATCTCAAACTGTAAAAGAATATTTATGACTTCTAAAATGATTTTAGATCATGGTTTTGAAGGCCAGGTGAAATTTTAATATTTCTAGTCTGGATTCTCTCAAGCTTTCTGGTCATTTATTTGTAAATAACAAACACAATTCTTCACTTTGTCTCTGGGTAGGAAAGAATTGCTAACATGACTTTGGCATGGTTAAACAAAGCAAAGGAGAAAGGATATTAAAAAAAGAGACGTCTTCTCCGGTAATGTTGCAACTATAAATAATATGCAATAGAGAGAAAATACAGTCATTTACTTCCTCTCACCTGAAAGTCAGAGATAAATTGGGCCAAAAATACCATCTTGTAAAAGGTAATGGGTGTCACAGAGATACTGAGCTTGGGGAAATTATTGACAGAGTCCTCTACTCTCAAAACTGCCCTCATTCCATGTACAAAGGAATAAAAACAAAAGGATCCGTTCTAAAATGAAAGTCTAGGTGAGGAGAAATGGAAAGATAAAAGAAAGTAAAAAGGAGTCTGCCTTTTCCCCAACTTTGGAATACCCCCATCTTTATAGAAACCTCAGTTCTTGGGTCAAAGAAGAGTTCAGCAAGAAGGGCCCTTCTAAGGCGGAAACATTCCTCTGGGACTAGTCTGCAGCAGTCAGGTCAGGACTCTGCTAGTCAAATAGCACAGCTGTTTGTGTGAGTACAGAGCTCTTAGAGAAGCTCGGTGTGGATAAAGACAGAGCAGGAAAACCATTGGAGTCAATAAAAATATGTCATCTTTTTCCATTTTCCAATTTGCTAACGCTAAAGAAATGTCATTCCCTAAGATGTCTAATGGCTATCCACACTAGGGTCCCTCCTGCCTTGACCCTGACATCTTATCCACTCCTTTTCTCTTTTCCCCCCTTGTATTAACATAAGCATACCAACACCTGTTTGGATTTCCATTCAAAACAGACCCTGTCCTATCAAAAAACCTCTTAAACATAGGCATATTGCTGGTCAATGGGAAAATCAACCCAGACCTTGCTCCCTCCACTTCCTTTCCCCTGTTCAACCTCCACCCCTTCAAATCTCCTATTTGATAAACACCCCTTGGACAGCATTTTTGCCTTAGTACCTAGGATGGTATGAGAAACAGCAAGCCCTTTATAATTAGGGAATTACCAAGTAAATACTCCCAGATGACTATGCCATCATTCTACCTTTCCTTTTCCCACTCCAGCTCCCAGAGACAATCCAGAATCAATTTATTCCACCACTATGGCACATAGTTTATTCCCAACTTCTATCCTAACCCAAAGGACAAATAATCAAAGAGCCTGGGTATTTCAGTGGGGCTCTATCTATTCCTTGGTAGCTGACTTTATTCCTTGGTATCTAATAAAGCTCTCAAGAGAATCTCCCCTTTGGGAGATCCACTTTAGGGCTTGCCTCCCATGTCAAAGATGCCAATTCAGGACACAGCTCTGCTCCTATAATACTTACTCCCATTTTCTCCAATCCTTGTCCAAAAACTCATGTACCAATTAGACTTCAAACCCCTCCCCCACCAAAAAAGCATATAGACCAGACTTCCATCAAAATATATTTCCTCGTGTTGCTATTACTGCTGTCCACTATCACAAACTCATCTACTTCCTAGGTTAGTTCTTCTATTCCTAAAAGTATAATCAACTCATCAGAGGTAATAAAAGGTGCAAGAAAATAAAAGGAATGATAGATGGGGAAAATAACCAACTGCCTTCTCTGATCTGTTCCTCTCTCCTCACTGTAATGTAACTACCTGGCTATTTACATTTATTGTTTCTATCCTTATAGAACTAGGTGCGTTTTCTCTAGTGATGCTTTTCTTGGTTTTGCATATTCAAAACTTGAAGGGAGTATATGACAACAGATAAATTATTCTAAGATACACTATTATTTTGTTCTTAAAATGTATAATTCTGATATACCTCATCTTAGTTGTTTGGTCCTTAAAATTTTATTTGCTTTATTCAGGCCCAAACTAGAACCTTGAAAAAAAAATAAAATCATAAAAATAAAGTCCATCTTTCAATCGTCATTTACAAGTCATTTGCAACCAGACCCTCCAAACTGAGGTATTCACTGAAATCAAAAAGACACGACGAGTCTTAAACTCCAACTAGCTTTTGCCACACAGTCCCTCTGCACCTTTGCTAATAAATAAGGTTGGCTTGAGTTGAAATGTGACAGATTAAAAAGGTATTGAAGGAATGACTCATTTCCTTTCTCATCCCATTTACCACTACCCCCCCTTATAACTCCTCACTTGAAATTGATACTCTATTACACATATAACTTTTCCCCACCTACCTGGTGAATGATAACAGCTTTCAGGCACCGTACTAAATATACATTATCTTTTTTAACCCATCCCAAAGCCCCAAGAGGTAAATGTTAACGTTCCCACTATACAGTTGCAAAAAAAAAGGCCCTAAAATGAAAATCATGCCAAAGGACTATGTCAGTCAATGGAGTTGTTTAACACAGGCCACACTAATTCTTTGTCAATACTGTAAGTTACTGAAAATCTTAAAGACTGTATGCGTTTATAGCTGCTGAGATATTTGAATGAAAATATTTTAAAATGCATACCTGTTTTTTCCTTGAATTTGCTTTGGGAAACAGGCCTGCTGACAACACAGATGTAAATGGAGAACAGCATAGCTCAGGAAAAGGGTTTGGAATAGATGGCATTTCCAGAACATCAAGATCTTTCTTTTTTCTCCTACACCAAGGGAACATAGGATGTAATTTACATAAAACAGAATATAAAATATAATTGCTGTCAGGATTAAAAAGTGCTCTAAGGCCAACACGTACCACTCTGTGACAACACTCATGTTACATAAAATGTACAGGTAAGGTGTGTAATGTACATTCTGTGAGTCAAAATAAAATATTAATTGATACAAATAAATCTCCTATAGTATGTCTACTTTTTTTTTTTTTGGCCTTTAAAAAAAACTACAGGCATGGAAATTCTAAGACTTTTGATAATTTTCCTGAAGCAGAAATATGGACTATATATAATTACTAATGCAAAAAATCGTCCTGAGGAGTTAGACATTGCTACCCATTTATTCACATCACAGACTAAGTTATATTTAGGGAATTCATCCCTGTGATATTTTACTAATCACTTTTGGAAGTTATGATTTATTGATGATAGCTGTGGTTCATCTCACTTCAAATTTCATTCACAATGTTGCCCGCATACGGTCTGTTGATTTTTCAAGTGCTTATAGGCACTAAACAGCGAGGCAGTGTCTTTGAGGAGGTAAGGTAATAGAACTTGCTGGTATAAATGTACTTTAGTCCACTGGAGAGTAATTTCAACTTCACTGAAGTTGAAGCACTTTGAAAATCAGAGAAAAAAAAGTATCATTTAACTGTCTGAATATAAAGGACGATAGATTTTCATACTGTTGTAGTCTTTTTTCATTCCTAAAGCATGTGCAACTCTAAAGGCACGTAGTGCTGAGTGTTATGAAGACTGGGAAACCTTTTAAAGCCTCTGTTCTTCCCTGCTGAACAGCAAGATTGCTCAAATGTTGATCCAAGCTTGGCTTCTCTAGGGTTGTTGTAAGACTCTATGTGGGAGATGAACTCATTTATGCTACGATTTTTTAAATATATAAAGTAAAATGGATTGTTTACTTTTTTCTAAGTGCAGGGCCACGAAGAAGGAGCAGGAGGTGGTCAATCTGGAGGTCGCCCCACAGTTCACGCCTCTGGGCAGAGGTGAGAGAGCCGGAGCTCTCAATGAAACGGTGATGCTATTTATAAGGCGCTGTGAGATCGCAATGTCCTGCCGGTCCGGTAGGAGTCAGCTCTAAGGGAATTGTCTTCAGAGACTTTCACAAACTTGGCCCAGCTCTGAGCACATGGCTCACCTCCTAGGACCGCCTCTTTACCCCCTCGACGGCTGCCAACCCAGGACACTCCCCCGCGCCCTCCCAGGGCTGCCTACCTGTCTGCGGCACTGCCGCGGGTCCCGTCCGGAGGGGGCAGGAGCGCTCGCGCGTGCGGCCAGTGACTTGGCGTCAGGTCGCGGGCGTCGCCCCTCCCCTGGGCAGCGCCACACACCTGGGCGGCCAGCGGCGAGCCCCGGGCAGCCGCCTTGCCCGCGGCGCTTTGCCCATCTTGCAGGGAAGTGGTCATTGTCGCCGGCTAGGGGGCTCGGGCGTCATGGGAGCCCCGGCGCGTGGGGAGAAGGGGTATCGGGTGGCGGAAGGCAAGGTGCGGGTTCAGCAGCCCGAGCGCTCTGCAGGTGCGGTGGCCTCGCTGCCTGCGCTCGGGGCCCCGGCGGCTCAGACGCTCGGCCGAGCTGTGTGCTAGGCGGCGGGGGAGGGGAGGGGGCGGAGGAGGAGGGTGGGGAGAGGGGAGGAGCGGCGGGTGGGTGGGGGCCGCGGGCGGCGGGGCGAGGCGGGGAGGGGGCGGGGAGGGTGCGCGCCTGGCCTGGGGCGCTCCGGGGCGCTGACGTCTGTCCCGGGCCGGCCGCGCCGGGGCCTCGGCGGCCGCCTCTCAACACCCCCACCGCTGCCTCCCAGGTGGACGCCGGGGAGCTAGGCTAAGCCAGGGCGGGCCCCGGGCCGCTGGAGGCGGGGACCCGGCTGAGCGGGTGCGCCCGCTGGGCTTGCCTGGCGGACTGCCGGCGGGACAGGGGTCTGGGCAGCGCTGACCCTCAGCCCTTCCATTCTTCCTGCTGTGCAATCTGAGATCACCTAAGCTGTCGCCGGGCCGCCATGACAGTCCCCACCGTTCCAGGAAGCCAGGGGACCGTGGGGCTAGGTTTGCCCCAGTCCTTCCCCACGTGCCGCCTCTTCCATCCACTCCTCAGCTAAAGATTGGGGGTCGGGGGTGCGGTGAGGGAGCAATCGTTACAGCGGTTGGAGAAAACTACTGAGCTTCTGAGAATCTTCAGTAAAGCATGAACAACCCTGAAGGTGTCTGGAATTAGAAAGACTATTAATTTTATTTTAATGAGAACAGCTTTCATTTAGTGAATCCCCACTCTGCCTTTTCTTCTCCAATCCTCACAACAGCTCCATAAACTAGACGTTTACCTCATTTTGCACGTAAGGAAATTGGGTCCTAAAGCCATCGAGTACCTTGCACAACATAACAGCAGGAACTGGTGCAGTCAAGATGCCAAGCCAGAAGCTTCCTTCTCACAGATTCAGATTGTCGGAAATAGTAATTACATTATTTTCCCCCCTCTGAAATTCTGGGTGATACTTTTTCTGCTCTTCTAGTAAGTGTCCCTATCCCCGTCCACAGTTGAGAATTTCCAAATGTTCTTTGACCAAATTAGGTAACATCTGTCCCTGGCATCTGCTTCACCAGGTTTTCTTCATCTCCACAACCTCTGCCCAGGGAAAGGTAAACAGTGCCTCGGAAAGAAAGCAGCAACCCCCTCTCCCACCTCGGTGTGCCCTCCCGACCCGGGCAGTGGAGACACCCAGGTCACTAATTCCCATCCTGTGAGAAATCCTGGGATACTCTGTGAAGACATGAAATAATTCTGAGTCAAAAAGTTTAGGGAATCCAAGTTCTTCATCTTCCCAATGTCAAAATTAAGGCCCAGAAAAGGGCTGGAGTGACCTGGGTCACGGGTGAGTGTAGTCTCTCAGACACTATTTTATATAGTACCCAGGCCAAATCAGGAATGAAATTAATAATACTAATCATAGTGATGGCTAACATGTATTGATGCTGTGTGCCAGGCAAAGGCCTCACATGCAGTTCCTTGTTATGGTGTGGACTTTATGCATAGAGTTTTGAAGAATTTAATGTAAAAGCATACAGATAGATTGAGGTCATTGCAGCAAAATAAAAATGAGGTGTGTATTTGCAGATCACTTGAAGTAAAGAAACATACACTCTAATCGTCTTCCTGATCATCATCATCATCTCAGTTTTGTCCAAAACTCTTTCGCAGGCTGCCATCTCTCTTTTCTAAGAATGATGAAGTTTGAGCATTCTAATAGCAGAATGAACTAGTAGCTGAAGTTTGTACCCTCCCCACTCCCAACAGTTTTTTCTGTCATACACACACATAGCAGGCTCTCTATTATTATTTTTTTTAATTGGAGAAAGGAATAGGTGGAAACTGTGTATGTCTTTGGAATCAAAGGAAATATTATCTCTGAATAGTGTATCCTGCTCCACTTCCCAACATAACTGCCATAGTTTACTATCCTTAAGAAAGAGTATTCCTTATTTGAAGAGACCTCAGCTGTGTCCCAACTATCTAAGTATCCTCATATTTATTGCAAATCCAGGAAGGATCCATCTGCTGGCTCTAACCCCCATGAGTAGGAATTATAGTCCCTGCGGTGACTAGGAGCAAAAAGAAAAAGGGCAGGTATCTGAGAAGAGAACCTCAACAGTTTTGTACATAGCCATTAAATATTGAATTACTCTCAGTAAACCTGAAAGATCTGTACCAAGAATTAGTAGAGCTAGCTCGTTCACATTTTTTTAAAAAGCCAATAATAGAACTAGTTTTTGTATCTAAGACATTTACAAGAAATGATTCTAAATAAAGACAGTATAAAAGTTACAGAATAGTGTTAGGTCTACTACCAGCCTAAGAAAATAGAAGCATTTTTCTATAAGAAGGGAAATTTCAAAGGGAGACTTTTTCTCCCCATAAATGACGAAGATTTCTGAAACAATAAAGCAGATACGTTGGTACCAGAGAGCCATACCAGTCCCCTCCTGGGTGGCTGTCCTTCCTTTGGGCTCTAGCCTGTAAAATTGCAGAGGAAGCAGCTAATATCCCAGTACTTTCCCTACCCGGGGCCTTTTCTGCTCTTTTGCACTCACTTCCTTTTCCTGTCTCAGGAATCCCAGCCTTACCCCTCAAGGAAAATGTGATCTCCGTGCATTCCTTTCTCCCTCTGCGCATCAAATCAAATTTTTCAACTCTTCATATTGGGAAAGGTAACACACATACTGAAAAGAAGTTCACAAGCAAAATGTATGATGACTCATCCCAGGGAAAATACTGGTCATGAAATGGCCCTCTAGAAGGTCTTCTCTTGTCCTTCCCTCTAAACCACATTTTCGTAGTAATCAAATCCTACTCTTTATTTTTAGTTTAACCAACTAAGTAACCATCCCTAAATAAAATAGATTAGGCTTTCTGGTTTTGATCTTTATAGTAATGGAATCATTCAGTCTGACCCTTCTGTGCCTGACTTGGTTCACTTCACATTCTATGCATTTGTGATATCTGCATGCTTTTGCAGGTAGCTGTAGTCCTTGCATTCTTCTGTCACATATAAACACCACAATTTATCATTCTACTACGGATAGATATCCAGGCTGTTTCCATTTTTGATTATTCGTTATGGTATAATATACATTTTATATATGTTCCGTGGTGCACATGTGCATGCATTTCCAGAATGTATATATGTAGGAATAGCATTATGAGGTCAAGGGACGTGTATGTTCTGCTTCAGTAGAGACTACCAGTTTCCCAAATGGATTGTGCCAGTTTTCACCACAACCACCAGTGCATAAACTTCCCCAGTCCTTCACATCCTTGACAGTTTGTTGCTGGCATTTTCACAGTAGACATTCTGGTGAGTGCAGAGCAGTACCTCACTGTAGAATTGGACTCTTCTTTGACTAATGACGTTGGGCACCTTTTTCTGGTGATTATTTACCATTTGGACAGCCTGTTTTGATAAGTGCTAATTTAAATCTCTCCCTGTTCGTATGATAGGTTGCCTCATTTTTTTGTTTTTGTATTTGTTTTTCTTGTTTTGTAGGAGTTTTTGTACTCTGGTTACTAGCTTTTTGTTGGTTTTAAGTTTTCTAAGTATCTTTTCCCATTCTGGGTCTTAGTATTAGATCTCTTACTACTATTTTATGATAAACAGAAGTTCTTAAGTATAATATAGTGAAAAATACCCATCTTTTTTGTTGGAGGCCTAAAGGACACGGAAGACCTAGTTAGCCCCATCCTCCGAAGAAGTTAGCACCAAAGGATCCTAACTCACCAAAGCCCTCACTGAGCTATGGAATTTGCCCACTCCCTAATCTCCCATATAAAAGGGGTCTCTAACTGCCGCCCACCCTCCCTCCCACTACCCCTATCTGGGTGCAGATGCTTGTGGCTGTTCCCTTTCAACAAACATGACCTAAACTTCTCCTCTCCCAGTCTCTACTCCCCCCACCATCTCCTCTCTAAGTGCCCCTGCTTACACTTTTTATTTTTTAGGATTATACAGGGTGGCTTAAAGTTCATGGGTAGTAACTTTTAAATTGCACATGAAATTTATGGCCTCCCTATATTTTCAATATCCTGCTTAGAAATTTTCACTATATATTGCAGAAATATATTGTGTTTTGCCTTTCACATTTAAATATGTGCTCCATCTAAGACTGATTTTTTTCTACTTATGATGTGAAGAGTAGGGAACTTTTTTTTGTTTTTTGGAAAAAATAGGTAATGTCCCAGAATTATTTATACTTAGGATTATTCTCTCCTCCCAAATTTTTAGCATCTCTTTTGTCTTTATTCAGTGCTCCATCTATCAGGAAGTCTGTTCTGGGCCTCTCTTTTATTCCATTGGTTTATGTGCCAGTATTTTTTCCAATATCACATTGTTTTAATTACTATGATTTATAACAAGTCTTAATATTTGATGAAGCATAAAAAAATAAAAAAAATATTTGATGAAGCAAAGTTTTTCATTCTATTTTTCTTCAAGTTCGTGGTTCTTCAAGATTACCAGTAGCACGGATCCTATTCTTTCTTTTACTCTCAAGGAAATAGACATTAAATACAATATTCTCATATCTTTGTCACTGGTTTAATAAGAATTTTATCACAAATGAATATTGAATATTATTTAAAACACTTTTCTGCCACTACTGAGTTGATTGTATGGTTTTGCTCTGTCATTCTATTACAAATTATTTTTATTTTTTTAAAATAATAAACTAAACTGGGGGCAGTGCCTGTGGCTCATTGGGTGGGGCCCTGGCCCCAGTACTGAGGGTGGCGAGTGCAAGCCCAGCCCCAGCCAAACTGCAACAAAAAAATTGCCGGGTGTTGTGGCAGGTTCCTGAGGTCCCAGCTACTCAGGAGGCTGAGGCAAGAGAATCGCCTAAGTCCAGGAGTTGGAGGTTGCTGTGAGTTGTGTGACACCACAGCACTCTACCAAGGGCGATAGAGTGAGACTCTGTCTCTACAAAAAAAAAAAAAAAAAAGAATAGTAAACTAAACTTACATTCATAGAAAAAACTCTACCAATTTTTTTAATATTTTTATAAGGTTGTTAATATTTTGCTTACAAATTTTTGTACCTACATTCATGAACATGATTGGCCTTTAACTTTCCTTTC